CAATTCAATAAGCTCTACATTTTATGAACCTGAAATCTCTATTCATATGCTAGAACACATTTACTCATGCATTTAAATAGTAGCAACCCATATACACACACACACACACATATATATGTGCATACATATACTAACTAAACTAAACGTAGATGCGTAGGCCGATGCTGTGCGTGAGATTGTTCGAATTTTACGAGCGGGGCGTGCAATGAAATCCCTGATGCCCTGTGGAATAGAGTCCTATGCGGGTGGCATACCAAAATAGCAATAGCAATTGTATATTTCGCCTGTTCTCTTTCTGGTTTATTGGCTAAAATTTGCATTGACAATTTGTTCTCGTGGCTGGCAAACGGAAAATTTGCAGCCTATTTGCCATGTGGGAAGCCAAACAAAATTTAGATATATTCATGGAATGTACACGCCGGATATATGTAATTAAATATTTATGCATATACATATATATACTGTTTATCATAATGGGCGTGCCTTTGGCTCTGTGGCTCTGATTTTATTTTTGGAATTTATTAATCTGCGATTCCCAGAGACAGCAACAAGCTCTAAACAGCGTAATGGGTTCTATAAATATAGAATATGCCCTAATGGCTTCCTCGATTTTAATTGAATTTCAATTGCTAATCGAGCTAACTAAGTTTAGCTATGCAAATAACTTCGCTTAAGCTAAATGAAGAGGCGAATTTTCATTTCAAAAATACTCAAAGCTTTTAAGTATCTATGGGAATATTTTGCTAATGTTATTCTGATACGACTAAGCGTTATTGAAAGCTAATTGAGCATGAATCGAGGCTGGAGGGGCAAGTCTATTAAAGCTAAACAATGTATGTGTATATTTCGCTTAGCTTCAATGGACATCAGTTGGCATCGATTGACATAGTTGAAAAGTGCCAGCTAATGCGTTTGCCTGTTAAATCAGATGCAGCTGGAGCTGTCCGGATATCGGACAGAAGATGACTGCCAGCAGGCAGCTGGGGACCGGACCGAACTGTGTCCTGAATAATTAATGAAATCGGCTTTGGGACGGGCGTTGAAAGCGCATTGAAGCAGAGCAAAGACCTTGACTGCCTTTTGGCTGCAGGCAATTGGGATCGAGCAGCGTAATTTGTAAGCGTTGCGTAAGCCACCTACCCAAACAGCCCTCCAGTTAGCCACCCAAAAAACACCCAGCAAAAGGCTCAAATTTAATCAGTTGCTGGCAACAACTAACTCAAGTCCATGTAATTGTGTGAACGAAACGGGAACGAAAAGGCGAACTGCGGGAACAGTTTATGTTTTAATTAGCTCAACGCAGCTGACATTGACGAGCAGCTGAACTGACGAAAGAAAAAGTCATTAGCAATTGCGCGCTTAACGCTCTGCGGCTTAATCTACACGAACTAAATGCGTCTAATTGAAATCAAATTACATAGTTCTGCTAAAGTCGAGCGAAGGTAACTAGTTAAGCGAATTGCCATGAAATCATCATTAGCGCCTCGTATTAATTGTAATTTATTGTGTGAGGTACTTGCAGAAACGAGAATTATTATGATTAAAATGATTAGTATATAGATTAAATAGTTACATTCTAGAAGGAATGCATTTCCAATAATATGAAAATCGCATAGAAAGGTACATATATTAATATAGAAGAAAATGGATACTGAGATTGAGACAGAGAGATAAGCATAGACAGTGGTGAAAAATGAAATAGAGGGAAAGTAGAGACGGGGTGATAGAAGCGAGAGGCGAAAAGGGAAAGAAAAGGAGAGTGAGAGAAAAAGAGAGTGATAACGGAAGACAAATCAAGATAGTGAGAGAGAGAGAGGGCAAGGAAGAAATATCAATAAAAGACAGAGACAGTGAGATAGTGAGAGAATTAAGAAGCGAAAGAGAGAAAGGAAGAAAGACAGAGACAGTAAGATAGTGAGAGAGTTAGGAGCCCAAAGAGAGATAGATCAAGAGAGAGAGAGAGGGGTAAATACTGAGTAAGTGAGTGAAATAAATGGACAGAAAGTCAATTGGAATTAAGAAATATATATAAGGCATGAAGAGAGACTAAACAAGACAGTAATTTAAAAAGAGATGTGGGCAAAGATATAAAAAATGATAGCAGCATAAGGAATAATTGAAGTAAGGACACAAGAGAGACAGAGAGAGAGAGGGAAATAGAAAGAGAGAGAGAGAGTAAATAAGTATAGAAAAGATGTGGGCGAGACTTATTACAAGAATATAAAAGCGCTGTATGAACAAAATACAAAAAATATACAACCTACAGAGAAATTAGCTTATGCTTCGACTTATTTAAAATTTAAGCACACAAGTATTACGATAGCAGAAACAATAATACGAACCATAAACTACTCTATGCAAAAATAAAAAAAAAGCACTAATAATTTAACCGCATAAACCTTAAAAGTTTATGGCCCAAGCTCACTTGATGGCTATGCATAGTGGACTACAAAGTAGACCATAAAACAGGGACACACTCGCACACTCACTGGCTGGGTCATACAGCCTTAGCACATGATATTCAACACTTGACATTGTCCGCCTTAACTGTCACTTCATTGCTGCCTGTGTCCCATGCACACAAATGTAATTAATTTATGCTGACCAAGCGTTAGTCCTTGTTGGTCCTCGTTTAATCCTGTGCAACAGCCAAGGGAAGGGAGGGCAGGGCAGGCGAAGCGCCCGCTGTTGTCAGGGAGAGCCAAGTGGCGCCCACATACAAAAGTGTGGCTGCCCCACTTAATCACTTCGAAGAGTTCAGTGCATCAATAAAAATGTGCCACAAATACCATTACAGGACAACGCTGCCAAAGTGGTAGAGGTCGACTCACAGAGACAGGAATTCTCTTCACCAGAGACTGGAAACGGGACCGACATCAATTTACCGAAACGACTTTATGGTGCCCCTGTGCGAAATACAATGTAATATTGGAATGGCGTAAAGTGCACAAGCTGCCAGAGATTCTCACGTCATCTATGGAAAATATTGTGAATGTGAATCGAAATGGATTGACGACACCAGAGAAACAGCATTCACTGCTCGATAGACGAACAAGTTAATATCTATTGAAAATTTGATTATCAATGCTGTTGATACTTGACTAAATTATAGCTGTACTTAAAATTCTTTTACTATCTCAGCTATCAACTTCTTTCTGTAAGAATCTAGAGAGAATTAAAGTTATCCTAATCTAAATCTCTAAGGAGTCTGACTTCTCCTTCTTCTTCTTTTGCCATCCAATTAAGTATATTTTAAGCTTTTCTATTATTTATGCCCATCTTTTGCTCCACACTTTACATTATATTCCAACTGTCAATCTTTTGAAATCCTTTCGCCTTTTGCCTCAATCAAATAATATTTGCTCGCTAGAAATTCCCCAAGCTGAGCTCTCGCTCGTTCACTCACTTCTGTGACCCTTTAGCGCACATATTTTATGCAAAGAATTTTCATAGCAACGCTTTTTCACACTTCCAGCGCACTCTGACAACTAAAACCACTCAAAGTGTCAAAACGGCCAACAGTC